ATCTGAACACAAATGCTCGTATGTCCTCCACTTAGCTAGCAGTCACAGAGTCTCACAGTCCTTTACCGAATCATTCTGGATGTAAGAAGAAGAAAGGAAAGAAGAGGCAGAAGAATAAGAAATAAAAAACTACCAGACAGCCACCTCCCATGTGCCTCACCCGCCACATTTGCCTCAACCACACAGAAATAGAGAGAGGGAGGCAGAGCAGACGCATACACCCAGTATCCAGCGCATTCACATGCAGAGAATGCAGCACTGACTCGTCATGTGCACTCCTGATGACTCAACACTAATATCACCACAGTACACTAGCAGTTGGCTGCATCTATCCTGCGTCTGCACTGTTGAATGTCTTCAAACTGTCTTTAAGCAGCAAGAAGCGGGACCTCTTCTGTATCTGCAAGATCCCCCCAAAATTGGATGGGGGTCTTTATGCAAACATATTCAAAAAACATCAACACACAAGCTTCCAGGACATTTTTTTTTATAGCTTTGGCTTTATAGATTATCGCTGCAGCAATCTGTTCTACCACTAATTCTAATCAATTCATCAGAGTGTGTTTTCATGCGTCTCCTCTCGCAATAATCCCATCACAGATCCTCTCTGGACAGAGCAGCAGAAATTTAGGTCAGCTCATGTATTAAGCCCAGTGTCTGTCCTAGTGACAGCCGGAATAACCATGTTTGCTGTAGTTTTGTGGCCGCAGGAGAAAAAAAATCACTTTCAAGTCATGTTTGAAAATTTAAAAAGGGGATGAATAAAAATAATCTTGAGTTTACTGGGTTAGTGGTGTCTAGATTAAAATGGGCTTTGTTTGATTGGTTTGTGTTCTGTCTATCATAGAAGCTTGAATATGTCAAAAAGAAAGACCTGAAATAAAATCAGGCCCAGTGTTGAGGATGTGAGGGGAGAATTAAGGATCCATCTTTCTGGACATCTTAAAGGGGGCGTGGTTAAATTGTTCTCATACATTTTGTATTTTTCCGTTACAGTCCAAGGGAATTGATATTTAGAGGATATATATGTGGATGTACATCATAATACGGTATTTACAATTATTGTTATTATTTTAGACTTAATGATAAATGTATTTAGACTTAACAGCTACAGATTTTGCGACAGCATAGTGCAGAATTCAATCTTTAAACAGTGTTTGATTTAAAACTGTGTTGCCCTCTTGCCTATCCACATCAGTTAGTCGTTTACCAAGTGGATGCCATGGTGCACCCAGCAGCTTCCTGCGCCCTTGACGCATACAGTATCCGACACTTTCACCTTGCGTCTCCTCCCTGCGTTTCCACAGACACACTTTCTTTTCTCAGCATGTGCTCTACATGATTTAAAAGTGCACAGTGAGAAGCTAGAACCTTAAACAGTGCTCACTTTGTCGCAGTCATTCATAAAAACCACGAGCCTGTAAAAAAGCAACTGCGCAGCTCCTTACATCACTTCACCCCAATGACGACTGAGCGGCACCGGTAATTCACAGCTCTGCATTGCGGTACTCTAGTGCCGGTCCATTTTAGTACTCTATAGTGCTGAACACACCCTGGTTTATCCTCACTAAGTCCAGACTGAAGAGCCGGTTAGTTCATGCACACACTCTGTCATGTGTTGTCGTTCTTACCTTTGAGGCAGAATGGGAAATTTCAGTAGGCTACACTGTCGGAATGGCACACCTGGACCCGAACCGCATCGTCCCACAGCCCACCCGCCGGAGCGTCCCGTTCAGTTGAACTTTTCCATTGGAGGAAAGCGGCTGAGTGGCACCTCTGGGTGGCAGCAAGGATGCGGCTGCGATTGGTCCACGAGAGAGGGAGGATGGGAGAGATGCGAGTATCAGAGCATCATGCTGCTCCCAGACAGGGAGAAATAGAGCCTTCACGGAAATTCATTTATCATGGTTATTTATAATTTTTTAATAAAGTGTGCACAGCAAAAACGATGGATTACTCTAGCAGCTATTATTTGATTATTTTTTAACACCAGCAAGTAAAAGAATTACAATAAGTCACTGTGCCCAGACACACTCAATAAGTCTTAACGGGAATATATAATTGTATTAAAATAGTTTGATAGTAGGAAAATACGATTAGAAAACACAGAAAAGGTGTTCAGACTATATTTCACTCCCCACCATGTGCTGTGCATCATAAATGACACACAGATCAATCTATTATTAATAAGAGATCCAAGACATTTGAAATGAAATATGGTTTAATCCTCTACAATGTAACCTTTCTAAAAAGGTATAGCTACAGGATAAATAGTCCACCTTTGCACTATGGGCCAATACTGCTAGCATTACTTATTTCTTATTTATCTGTGATTTTTTAGCCTTCATTTCTTTTTTTTCTCATTCTTATTTTTACTCCTATTCTGTTACTCACTGCAGGTGTGAGCATGTGACAAATAAATGACATTTGAACTTCTTGAAATTGTCATATTAATAATCTGCATTTCAGTTAGGTTGTGATTGGGATTTAGCCTATAAACTACAGCAAAACTCTTCCAGTAGATGAGAATAAAAAGATGGATGGACAGCACATGCGCACACAGTCCAGATTTAATCTTTTGAGGATTAACTTGTGGAGGTTTATCTCTTGGTTATTTGATATTTCAGAATAACACTCTTTATGTCATTACCAATTTTAAACACTAGGTGGAGCCACACACACGCACACACACACACACACACACACAACCAAGAAAAACCATCACTGATTTGAAATCCTGAAACCAACATTTATTTCATTTTTTTAAACTTCATTTAAAATACAAAATATTTTGCAATATTATATTTTAGAGTAAACCATTTTGACAGCCTTTCATGCTTCTCATGTAGCTTCAACATTAACCAGAATGTCATATTATATCATATATTGTATATCCTACTGTATGTTCATCAGTCACTAGAACGTTGTTTTCAGGGTATTCATACTCCAATGTGCCAGTCCACCTATCTGTCCATGCTGGCCATTCTTCTGATTTCTCTTCTTTCTTTTTTTGGGATACACACTCTTAAAAAGGATGTCAGTTTCACCTAATGTCTAGTTTAGGACAACATTTCTCCAACGTGATGTTTTCGTAAACCAGATGCATGGATGTGGTTGAAGTGATAAATCCTGTTTAAGTGTGCGCCTTTTTATAAAAAATACAGAAAAAAAGGTGTGTGAACTGTCAGAGACAGAGAAACAATACAGGTGTCACAAGAGTTCAGTCACAAGTTAATAATCTCCTTTGATACCTGATAGGCTAAACATTTGAGCTAGCAAATCCACCTGACAAAAAAAAGAAATTTCACAGCAAATAAAAAGAGTGAAAATTGTAAATAGTCTCACACAATGCCATTTTGCCCTCCTACACATAATGTAGCAGGGCCTATTGAGGTCAAGCTCTCACCTCTAACCTCAGCACATCTACGCTCAATTCAAGCCATTATTTACAAAATACAACAAAATATCTACACGTGGAAAGCTGACACATCGCAACCTAAAAACTTGATGCAAGTCATGATAAACATAAGGCGTGGAAATGCTCTCTGAAAAAAAAAAAGGTGCTGGATCTCCTGTTGAGAGTCGGACACACATCAGAATTCTAGACTGTTATCCATGGAAATTGAAAGCGATAGTATACATCACACACGCTGTAACACAGTAGCATGCATGTGCTGCCCCCACACACACACACACGCGCACACACAGACACGCACACACACACACACACACACGCTTCATTCATTTACAGTATTAGAAAACTCACTGAGTGCTGCACTCAGAACGTGACAACATACACAGATATAAGGTTAAATGCATAAACCAAAGTCACCAGTGTGTTTACCATTTGCAGTGAAACAAGCAATATTTTCATTTACATAAACAGATCCACTTGTTTCCACATTCAGTATCATGACGCAAAAAAAATTCCGACTCCTTCATTTCTAAGTGCTACCAGTAACAGTATGTCCCATTATGTTAAAAGTCTGTGCCAGATGGTGAGTCTGGTTGCTGTTGGCAGTAACCTGATGAGTAGGTTGGCAGTAGTTTAGTGCTGCTGAGCAGCAGCTCCTCCTCGAGATGAAGGAGCAGAGTGTTTGAAATGAACACATGAAGACATCTCACGAGCGCCCAGTGCTCCTCTGACCTCAGGTTTCCCTCACATTTCAATATCCCACGCATTTTCTCAGTCTTTAATTCTTAGCTGGATGGTGTGATTTGGTGGTCTGCTTGTACACCATGTGGGCTGATGATAACTGGGTATATGATTGTCAACAAGGCCATAACAATCTATAGCTGAACAATTATTCTAACTAATGCCAGTGTACAACTGAGAAAAAGGTCATTTTATAACAGTTTTCAGCCCTGTTGAAAACTATTTAAAGACTCAAGTAGGCTATATGAAGCCCATGTGGATGTTACTAAATGACCACATAGCTCACAACAAAGGGTCTTAGTTTCCCTTATGAATCAGTGGAATCCTGTAAAGCTTATTGTGTTTTACACTTGTGTAGCCTTTAAAGTTGTCATTAGAGTAAGGTGGGATAGTAGTCCGTATGTACTGATTTCATGAACTATATGAACTGCACTGAGCCCAGGTCTGTCCTGTGAATAAATAGGGACAAAATTCTATGTATCTAAGTCACTGTTCTCCACAAAGGCACTAGAAACCATGGTGAGAGGTTCTTGATCACCAACATCTACATATCTCGAGACTACAGTGTGTACGTTCTGTAAACCTCTTCATATAAAATATTTTTCTCTTGTTTCTGCCAATATTCATAGCAGATGCGTAAGTGGTAATGCTATTGGATACAATATTGGGGAAGTTCTGACAATACCAGGAGGGCCTAAAATGAGGGCGTGCACAGTGGTCACGATTCGGGGGGGAAGCACTTGACGTTGATGCTAGATCAATCACACCTGCATTTGTGTTCAGTTAGTGCTAGGTAACAAGAAGGATAGGCTCGGTGTAAAGGAACAGATCGGGAAAGAAAAGCAAAAAAAAAAAACGCAAGCACAGAACAAGGTTGAGAAAACATGAGGCTACAAACGAGCAGATTGGAGTAAGTGTGGGAGTTTTGGCTGGCTGGCTGGTGTAATAAGTGACCGAACATTGAGTTCAAAGTGTTTCCAGCCAGGTTTCCAATGACAACAAATGGACATCACTGACCTTGAAATATAGCTTTCGTCTTATTCTATTACATATGTACAAAACGTTCATCTGTCTCAAAAGGACATACGCTAGCTTCTACTTCGAGTCAAACATTTCACAGCGTGGTCCACAAAGACACTGCTGCCATTTTGTCTCTCTATGTATATATCATACGCCACTGAACACTTTCTAAGTGGAAAAAACAATAAAAGAGGCATACCCACTCGCTAGTAGGCGTGCACCATATACAGTCTCAACACACAGCTCATCTCTGCAACAACTGACACAAAAATGGTAAAATGCTTAATAGATTTGTGATTTACTCCATGCAGATGTTTATGAGTGAATGCATATTTTCCTGCCTGCGGGTCATGTACTGTACTTTGATAAAATATAAATTTGGATACATCATGTTTAGTATGTTTGCAAAGGAGATCAAATAGCACTAACACACACACACACACACACACACACACACACACACACTTAGCCACACCTCTGCTCAGTCTGAGTGGTAAAAACTCTTTCTGGTACATTCCTTCTGCTTTTCTATATTGCTTCCTCTCTCCTTCCCTCCTCTCAGAGTCCTCACATCCCTCGTTCCGCATCTTCTTATAATGCTCATGGGGGATGTGGTGTCGGCCTTTGCCATGCTGAGTGTGTGTTAATCAGAGGAGGTCAGACAGGGGGCTGGCGGGTGTGGAGATGAGGGCGGGTCAGCAGTCTTGGTGATACGTAGCCACGGCGATGGCCAGCGAACTAGGCGTCCACAATGACTGTCACCTTAGCAACTGTCACCACAGAGACGGTCCCTATGGTCACATTTGCCAGGGTGACAACGAGTGGCCATAGCAACTATCGCAGTCGGCCTTGTCGCCGTCATTAGACAAATGAGTTCATGGCGTTGACAGGCGACGGGGCCTCCGAACTCTCGTTGCCTTCGTGTGTGTCTTTCTCTTTCTTGCCGCTATACTGTCCAATAAAGGAGCCGTCCTCATTGAACTGTCCGTCCCCGCCCTCCCCGTAATCCACCAGGCTGTCGTCGCTCTCGTCCCGGCGCACAGTGCCATTGGATGGCGTCCGGCTTCCCTTCAGCGGCTTGTGGTCCTCTGTGTCACTATAAAAGGGTAGGAAAAGGTTGGAGGGAAGGTTATTGGGAAAATATTTGTGCAGTTTGTTCAACTTTTCTGCAGTGGTCAGAAACCCTAGTGTGCACACAGAGGGCAGGCTATTACCCAAGCGTTAGCATTTTACATGAATGATCATGTAAAATGCCAGAGGAGGCAACATTAAGTTGACATATAAACATATATGGAATACCTGAAGCATTATACTAGATAGTACTTGTACAGTGGAGCAGCAGAGCTACATCTATAGTATTATAGTATTTGCTATAATGTTAGTGCTGTTTTAAGCCTGGGTGGTGTTCAGATTTAGGGTTAGTGACCACTGCTTAAGAGCATTTTGCAAATGCGTGCTGTTCAGTCTCTTGCAATACTTTACCTTTATATACAATTTCTGAAATGAAATCAAGCTTTAAGTTTACATGCAATAATCAAAATGCACTATTATTTTTTAGTCTTTTTTTCCCCAAAGATAAAGTATGTTACCATCATTTGATCTGAACACTTCCTATTTCAGTCAATATGCAAGCTCTAATCTAATACATTTCAACTCAATTTTCAAGCTCTATGCATTCGTAAAAAAAATGAAATGAAGGAAGCTAGAGAAGTAGAAGCAGTCAGTTTTATTGTTTATCGTAGTGTTAACGTTGAGGTTGTGGTTATGGTGTTGACTATGTCAATGAGTATGATGACATAGTAAAACCAGATAAGTTGATGCACTTCCTCCTAATTTAAGTCAGAAACATAGCTTGAGATGTTTTTCAGGTTGTGTGAATTGCATGCTGGCTTTTACCACATCTCGTCTTACCTCTCCATAGACCTAAACCCGCCAAAAAACACAGATAAAGAATGGAAGGACACATGAAAAGCAATTCATGAGCCACAATGAGTGTATATTCTTTTACGCGCAAGACACAGACAAGACAAAGCATGCATATGAAAACACTTAAAGCACAATGACATCTACATTGAGTTAAAATACAAAGTTCATTTATCCATAGTAACTACTTTAATTCTTAAGCAAGTCATAAAATCATCAATATTCTTAGGAAAACATGAAATGTGATGAAAAACTATGTCACCATAATGGAATTTGTTTTACTCTTGTGTCAAAAACAGTTAGCATACAAGTGACTTAGCCAGACATGAGATTGCTTGTTAAAATGGACGTATTTTGCATTGTAAGAAGCTCGTGTTGATTAGAGGGCCAGTGTGCATTCATTATGAAAATCAACATATAAGAGTAGTACTTTTTTTTGCCTTGCCTCTATAGAGTGTTTGGTAATGGAGTCTGGTGGGGAGAGTGTCTCTGCAGCCTGGTAAAATGTTCTACATTCAAACAGTGGAGTCAGGACACAATGAATGAAAAAAAGAAAAGAAATCTCACACACTACTGTATGCTGTGGTTCTAACCTTTCTGAATGAAGAACATCTCTCACCTGTACTCTCCAAACGTCCCATCATCCTCCTTCATTGGCTGGATCTCTGGGTCTTGGTGGGCATCTTCTTTCTCTTTCACTGTAGATCACGCAAGGGTTTTTATTGTTCACATTTCCATCCATCCATGTCAATTAGCTTAAATGACTGTATATACTGATGATGTGCGCATTACCTGGATATTTACCACCCTTGTTCCTCTTGATGAAGCACACTATGAGAAGGACCAAGATGAGGAGAGCGATTGCACACATCAGTCCAATAAACCACCCCTGGGTGGCAATGTCTACCTGCCGGCTGGGTACAGCTGGACACACACAGAAAGGGGAAGGGAGGGAAGGATGGAGACAGGCAGTAAGCACAACAGTCCAGTTCTCAACGCAAGCTGGTAAAATTGGTGGAATCTTCAACATGTTCAACATTAAAAGAGGCTGTAAACACTGAAGCAAAGTTTAAAAATGGGTTAATGTGTAATGGTAATTTAGGCGCTGAAAACATGACAAAAAGAAAAGACAAACAGTAAAACAATGGACCTCTTAGTAATGATTTTAATTGACATGCATCAGACCACCTTAATGGGAGCATGCTTGTGCGCTAACTAGCAAACTAACTACCATACACTACTGAATGTAGCGTTGAATTTCTGATAATGAGACATAACAGAAAGGGGATGGGGAAAACGAGACAGGCAAAAAAATAAATAAATACAAAGACATCTATTCTGAGGCATGCCGCCTCACCTGGCACCAACACCGACACTTCATCTGTGCTGTGGACCGTCAGGTCAGCCGGGTCTCTAGCTACCACACGCACCCTATAGGACGTCCCCGGCTTTAAACCTTTTATCATATGCGAATGTGAACCATTTACCAACTCCTTTTTCCAGTCCTCCTTACCTAGAAGTGGCGTAGTGGAGGGAAAGGAATTAGATTCAAGGAGCCTTTGGGGGGGGGGGGTTATTATTTAAATGATGGTATTTAAACATTCATTTTAATAGTTAAATTATTAGGGTTCAGATTGAGATTTTGAGATGCAAATACAAAGTGAAGCCTTACTGTTTTCTACAATATATTCCACATATACATTCTTATGGTGTCCAAAGTAATCCCAACTGATCACTGCACCGTCCTCCGATAGGGACGCGTTAACTTTGCCAAACACAGGGCCTACAGGTGGCGCTGAGTACACATGAGAGAAAGATAAATCAAGGGCTTTAATTTTACACAGTCACCTAAATTTCCCCAACTCATTAAAATGCCTTAATATGAAATAAAACGTTTAGAATACTGCTAGGGATCTTCAGTACAGGAGTGAGCTGAAATAATTTTAAAGAAATAATCATACACCATACCAGTGTTTAGGATAAAGCTGATGCCTGCAAATCTACTAGTGCAGTTCATACCCAACAGAAATGATCAGGGCTATTAACAAAAATACACTTCCATGTCTGTTCCACCAGTTTGATGATCAGATTATGAGAAAACTGACCAGAGTCCTAATTTACAAACATTAGGCAATTGGCTGTCTGTCCCACCTAGCATGCCAGTTTAACAAAAATGTGCCTCCATACAATGCATGGCACTGGCATACCAATTTTTGGTAAATCACACAATATCTTTAGAGTCAGATCCTGCCACAACATGAAAACAGGTTAGTTTTAAGGTATAGATGCTAAAAATGGCCATCTCAGTGAGGACTTATATCAGTCCTCTTAAAACAATGAGAAAAGTTTTAACAGAAATCAACTTAAATATGTTAAGATACTGATTATAGCAAGATGTATACTATAGGAGCAATTAATACTGTTACCTTGCTGACCAAATGTTCTTTTCCTATTCATAAAACTAATGTTTTTAAGACTTTCTTTTGCTGAGATGGACCATTTTTCGCAGGGCAGAGCATATGGGTAGATATTTGGGGAGGTAGAGGGGGGAGACAGGGAGTGCTTGTACCCTTGTGAAACGGGGGATGCGGAGACTGAGTGGTGGGGGAGGTTGGGTGAGGGGGCTCTGTGGGGCCTGAAAGAATACGGAAAAGAGTGAGACAACACACATACACACCACATAGACAGCAGTGAAGACTGCAGAGCCACTGTTTTATGGAGAAAGTTGCTACTGACATGCTGAATTAAAACCTGTTGCAGCACCTCTCAGTCCTGAGATTCAGAATGAAGTAAAGCACCTGGATCAGCATTGCATCCACACTAATAAAACTCTGAATCGCAGCACTGCAACAGGCATATTATTCAAATCAAATCCTAGTTATTTATATATGCAATCCATCAGTTTATAGCATCAGCAGGTATATAAAATGTGTTAGTACTGGACTGAAACAAAAGCATTCCCAAGCATCATGCGCAAGGCTTCTAATGAAAACATGTTCATTTCAAGAAAGGCAAAAAAAAGGGCGCTAAAGACTGCAAGCACAGCTAATTCTTTAAAAATCAACAATTTTAAACTAACGTGCAGTAAGTACAACTTATTTCCTACAACTTTAGGACACAAGCATGGTTGCTTGCAGATGCCATGGAAGTCTGTCACACCTAAATCCTGCCTACTCACACGGGGTAGTTTTCAGGCATGCTAACTTAGGAACATGCAGGGATAATTTAACTGAAGACAATATCTATGCTAAGCTCTTTTTCTGCTTCTAATATTTGATGATATGAATAACATGCAGGGGCTTCCAGTGGCAAACTTGGGTTACCTTTGCCCGTCTCTACAGTGGGCTGAGTACGAGCTTCAGAGGAAAGAAAAAAGAGAAAGAGATAGAAGGGGGATATAAGGTGTGGAATGCAGTAGGACCTCATGTCACCTCATTGTACTTTTAAGCTCAAAGGGATCCCAAATCTCTATCACTATCACTATTTTGTTTGCCTAAATGTCACTGATATAGGACTTTGACCTTCCCTCCTAAACTGCTAAAATAACTCACCTGTGTCCATGACTGTCAAGGCCTCCTCTGTGATGATGGGGCCAGAGCCCTTGATTGTCTTTGCACTTAAGTAAAACTTGTAGAGCATGCTGGAGTTCAGGTTGCCCAGGGTGGTGGTGGTCTCATTTGCTAAGAAGGTCATCACCTTGACTGGTCCCAGCTCATTGGTGTTGTTGACTGCAGAGACAGAGAGAAAGGGTGAACAATGGGGAAAAGGCAGAGGATGGAGAAGGAGTTAAAAGAGGATAGGAGATTTTAAAGGAAAATATGCTGAATTTAGGAATGCTCAAAATGTTTTTTCCTTTGCACAAATGCAGCATTATACTGTGTAGAACACGTCACGCAGTGTGTCAGGCAGCCAGTAAGCCTACCAGGTTGGTATTTCAGTGTGTAGCCAGCGAGGCGTCCATTGTTGTTCATTGGTGGGCCCCATTCCAGAGTGAGAGAGTCCAAACTAGGGTTTATGACATTCAGAAAGGAAGGAGGCCCTGGGACTGAAAACAAAAACACAACCACAGTCAGGGTGGGTACATTTCACAGGACCATTTGTGGGAGAATTAATATATTGTACACAAGCTAGTGGCTGTGAAGCGGGAAAATACACCTTATGAGTAGTTAGGGCTTTTCCATGTCATTGCTAGGGGGTTTCATAGGGGGCTGCTATAGTGTTTTATGTGGTTACCAAGATATAGCTACAGGTATGCTGAGTTTTTTAGTATGTTTTCTATGGATGCTCTAGGTGGTGGCTTGGGTAAGTTTGGGGTTGCTATGTTGAGTCTGGGGAGTTTCGTACTGCTAGGTAGTAGTAGTAGCAACCGTAGAATTAGTAGCAGGCAGATACAACAAAATAGAGGTTTTAATGTATTAAAAAGCCTGATTTAGTGCAATTAAATTCCAAGAGTGGTGACCCAATTAATATTTGGAGCTAGTTCCTGACATTAAGTGTGTCAAAAGGTATCTGTCCATTGTAACCTAACCTATTATTCTGTAATGAAAGATAAAAAGTAAAAATAAAAAATTGTCAAAACTGTTGTCTGGCAAAAAGGAATTACATGCAAGCTAACAGACTTTCAAGACATGAAAATTATCAATTTTCTAGATGCAAGATGCTCTAAACCTGCAGAACAACCACGTCAACCATACACACCTCCCTCAGGTGTCTCAAATGTCTTGCTGGGGCTCGGAGGCCCTTCTCCTTTGCTATTAAGGACCCTGATGGAGAGGTTGTAGAGGCTGTAAGGCTGGAGGCCTGGCAGACGTCCTTCGCTACGATTCCCACTGAACGTCAAAACCTGCTCCTGCTGCTCTGTCTCCCCTTCTGTCTCGTGTAAGCCGCGCTCGCGATGGTAGTATACCTAGAGGAAACACACCAGGGGTTAATTTTTATATTAGCCCAGTGGGGGCTGAACTTCTTTTAGCTTCTAAAGGGGTGGGTGACCAATGTATTAGCCTGATGTGCACTTTGGCATTTTTTCCTTCAGTTTACACTATTACTACTTAGTATGTACAGTATAAGTAACATAATAGCACCATATGTTGGAAATACTGTTTAACATCCTTCAAATTCAAATGAAAGGATTTCTGGGGATCTATTTAAAAGAAAAAAATATTTATTTCAATTACTTTTACAATAAAAGCAAATGGTGAAAGTGTCTCTTTCACTATGATGCTACAGCCATGGGTCAAACTTATTAGCTTATTTTCAGTGGATTTGGAAACACATGTTACTAACTAATACTGTGCAGATACTTAAGATTTATAAAGGTCTGAGCTGTACATTTAAAGTAGGCAATAACTTACACACTGTAAAGTGATAAATTTGATTTGTGCTGGCATTTCACTCTGACTTCTGTTGTCACAGTGCAGCAGTACTGAAGGACTAGTGGAGAAACATTTTGGATAAAACACAGTTTCAGTTTGGTTGGTCCTAGATTGTAACTCTGTTTATGTCTGATGGGGACCAAGTGTCTGGAGGGATCAAGTGTCCACTGGCAACATAGGTCAGACTTTTTTAAAGCCACTTTATGAAACAAAATACCCTGAAAATAATCTTGAGTTACTGAAGTACACCTGGCTTCCATTTTTTTGCTACATGTGCAAAACTTAGTTAGACCAACTAACGGACGCAAATGTTTCTACACTTCCAACCACATTTCAACACTCATCCTTCAGCAAAACATTTACACAATGAAGGAAAGCAAAGCCTATCTATGTACACACATTACAAAATTGCTGACTTTTTATCAATTATCTAATGAGGAGTAGACACATAGATGGCCAACCTTTGAGGACGTTGTACCTACAACACATAAATGCCAAGATAAACCACTGGGTGTTTCCTTTCAATGGAATCAATGTGTTCTCTGATATAGGCAGCTAAATTAGTTTTGTTTTTTTTAGTTTTATTTCCCTATATACTGTGTGTAGTTGGTTATTTTTACAGTGCATATTATTTCTCCTGAGAAGTCTGCCATTACGTGTTTGCACCTCATTGGATAATTGCTAAAGAGGCAGTCAATTTGTGGAGTATATAGGATGTGCTTTCATGCATTCTGTAAAAACACTGACTGGGGCTGTGTGCTGAAATGTGTTGACTACAGAGCAAAGTATCCAATACATTAGTATTGCTGGGTTATTGTTCACATATAGTGGGTGGGTGCAAAAGGGTCAAGCACTGACTTGACAGGTAATGTAGTGGCAGTACCCCTACCAGCAACGGCCAAAGACAAATAACCATTTATCAAGTGATACAATACCTTGTATCCCTGTAGTTTTCCTCTGACCGAGGGGAAAGACACAGGCTCCCAGTGTACTTCTGCGAGAGTGCTGTTGTGAACCATGACCTGCACGCTCTCAGGAGCAGACAAAGGCACTGCAGAGCAATAAGAGAGCCAGTTGTTTCGACCAATGATGAGTAAATAAATGCTTTAAAATATATAATAATGAGTTCACTCACAGTCTTCTCCAGAGTATCCAATCACAACTTCAGGCTCTGGACCGCTGCCATAATAATTCACAGCTTGAACCTTGATCTCGTAGGGCACATAGGTTGGAGTTCCAGACACAACAAACTGAGAAACGTTGGCCACAGTCTCCGAGGACCACTCATTATCCACGTCCTTCTGTCTCCACTGCACTTTGTACTCTAGATTGGGCCCGTTGGACTGAAATCCTGTCAGCGGCTACACAGAGAATATTTGTTTGTGTAAGTTGCTGAAAAACAACACACTGAAATACTCTAACTTAACTGCAGTGACATATTTGCCAAGCCTTTACTGCGTTGAAATGAGTAGGCAAGACTAGAAACAGGCTCATATTCAGCCCATGAGACAAGTGATTTCCATAATAACAAAAGCATAGCTTACTGTCCAGGAGATAACCAAATTGCCAGGCTCTGCTCCTACTCCCTGAACATCTGACGGATTTTCATCAGGAGCTGGGAAAACCAAAATAAGAGGGTTCAATCAGTGAATATTTTAGAATATTTTATATATACTTTTTTTACTGGAGGGGTGACCATGTTCATCACCTGCAGGGTTGGTCCTATATTGGCTTGAGGGCTGGCTAGGCTGGCTGTAGCCAACATGATTTACAGCCAGAACTCTGAAGGAGTAGTAGACGTGTGGAGAGAGGTTTAACTGTGCTGTGGTGCTAGTACCAGCAACCTCTGTCAGGTTGATCCAAACTCCAGGCTGGTGAAGCAGATCCTCGTATTGGATTAGAAACTCTGGGGGGGAAAAAAGTTCCACAGTTCAAGAATTTGTTGAAGAACAGAAACACTCTCTCAAGCAACATTTTCTTTTACTGGTGATGATTTCTATAGGTTAAGTAACGGTATTCTGTGTAAATTTAGCTATGGTGACTCCTTGCTTATCATACCAACTACCAAGTTCCTGTCTTGTTCATTCCTACAAAACCACAGTTGCTGCTTCCAGAAACCTAAACTATATCTGAACTTCCTGCATATCATAGGATTCTGACTTGACAAACCTGTGTAGATGTAGAAATTCAGCGTTTGTCGTCAGTGTCTAATTTTAAGCTTGGCAGTGGAAAAGTGTAGTACAGTTTGATTAAACATGTTGCCAAACGACAAAGTAGCATCATTTCATACTCTGTGTGGGACTGTTGTGTTCGTCTCCAGGGATCCAGGTGAGCTGAACGCTCCTCTCTGTCTGGTCAGTCAGTTCCAGGTCTGTCGGAGGGTCAGGTTTCTCTGTAAACACAATGAAGGAGCCCAAGCCCACATAAAAATGAAAACACTCTTTCTGCTTCTGATTAAAACTAGTCCATGCTATTGCTTCAACTGAAAATTTGCCACTAATACTTTTCCGTAAGAACAGAGTTCTACAGTAAATGAGATTAAGTCAGAATTTTATAATTAAACAAATTTTCGCTCATGAAAATGCCCATGGAATAAAAGTAAAATCATTTATAGTGCTATGTAAATACTGTGGACAAACATACACTGCTAAATATTCAGTAAATATTATATCTTTCTGTAAAATTAAATGATACAACTAATATAAAATAAAGAAAGCACTAAAATCATTCAACATAAAATAAACATGGAGATGATGTGGAAACTACAGGTTTTGCAAACAGAACTTATGAAAGCTACAGAATCCTAATCTATGGACATTGTTTACCGTGGACAATAGCTGGAGTAGGAGTAGCCTCTGGGCAGCGAGAAGCAAGAGTAAAGTAGATGTTAGTGACAGATGTTAGAAACAGCAGAAAAGCGGGAAAAATACTGTTGTATTGTGATAACAAATTAGATTAAAGCTGATACCCACTATTGCTGAAATTTTAAGTTGTGTTGTTTCACTACAATTTCACTTTCTTTAAAAACACATGTATCCAGTGTTCACATTGTGAGATTTCTAGACTCACAATCCTTGACCTCGGGCATCATGCTAAGTGCAAAGACTCTTGAATGCATTGACGTACCTACGACAGTCAGCATGGCACTGGCTGAGTCCTGGTCCAGGGTGGTGTTCATGATGCAGGTGTAGGTGCCCTCATCTCCATCTGTCACATCTTTGATGGTCAGACTGTCCGTGTCTACATCAAACCTGATGACAGAGTATCACACTGGGTGTTCCATTTTTCATTTCCAAGTAATATCACAATTTTTCATGGTATACATGACAAGTGTTCAAATTAAATAAATTAATTTCATAGTCTTTGTACCTCTCATCATCAGGCAACTCTCCGTCGTCTTTGAGCCAGGTCATGGTGGGAACGAGGGATGGGTCATGTTTGACTTTACACTCAAACACAGCGCTCATTCCTTTCTGTACCACCTTGTACTCTGGCTGCTTCAGGATACGGGTGGGCTCTGGAATAAGGAGAAAATCAAAAGAATTATATTAATAAATAATCAAAGTCGATGGCCACATGACTTAATGGCTATAGAGGCATACAATATAATCTCTTTGTGAGCTATAATAGTCTTTTAAGTAAGATTGGTGGTCCAACAAGAGTTGGACCACCAATCTTACTGTTGTGAGACTGGTCCATATCTGACCTTTAACCTCCAGGTAGACATGGTTCTCCTTGATTCCCAGGTTGTTGGTGGCAATGCAGGTGTACTTTCCACTGTTTAGTGGCTGGGCCACATGGATCTCTAATGTACCATTCTCATGGATCACAAAAGGGTCACCATTCTTAATGCTAGTCTGACTGTCTTTGAACCTGCATGGAAACAGCAAACAGCATGGGTTTAAATATTTAATGTTGCTCTGCAGCACAATTGGTGGGGTTATAGCTAAGACTTTGATTCTCACTGGCATTACCAATGCAAAAAATGTACATTGAATTTTCACTTTCCAGTAGCAAATTAAGTTCTTCATGTTTTGCACGTTTTCATTGAAATTTTTTAGATGTAGTCGGATAACCTTTAATTTAAAACCTTTTGTTTCAAATTACAGCATCTTAAAAAATGACTAATTCTTTCTTTTAAAAATGATTTTGAAACATTTTATTTTTTGACACCTGATCTGAATCTTACCACGTGATGGTTGGTATTGGTGAGCCAAAGGAGGCACAGTGAAGTAACGCAGGATTGTTGGTGATGACCTGGTACACTCGGTTGGGTGGAGTGAGCACCCTTGGTGCTTCAGCTATGGGAAGACACAAAACATCTAATCAGCACTTGCTGTATCTCCCCCCTTGTACACACTGGCCTGTATATCCAAAATGTATGTTCAACTTTTACATACAGTACATTTTCAGCTAAACAGATTTAGTGTAAGTTTAACAACTTAACTCACCAAGAACGTTGACAAAAGCGTTTGCCATCAGGTAACCAAATTCATTGGATGCATTACACTGGTAGACAGCACTGGACCCTGATTGCACATTGCTAAGAATCACGGTGTCGCCATCCACCTTCCGACTGTGGTCCACAGGAGCATCTATCACAAGATGCATAAAATATATTGTTTAAGCATAAGTTGTTCAACTGCACCATTAGAGTTTTGTGAATGAAGAAACCAGCACATAACAATTCTGCTGAACTACAGGAAACTCTAAACTAAATAACATGAAAGGGGGAAAAAAACACTGCTGAGATTGAGAATTTATGGTCTCTATTGCTGTCAGATGCTTTGGACTTAAGTTTGTATAAACGTAGTATTTTCTATTTTTGAAAGCGTGGTCTCATTATACTCACTCTCAAGGGGGATTCCATTCACAAACCAGCTAATCTTTGGTTTCGGTTCTCCACTGACTCGACAAGTCAGGATGCCAGTTTCATTTGGGGCAAGGATCAGGTTCCTGGGAGCGCTGACCCAAAAAGGAGCCGCTGTGGATTACAAAAAGGAGAGAAAACAGAAACAGAACAAGCTTTTTGAGAGAATGGCAAAATAAGCCTACTTTAGGGAATAAAATTAAGGTTGCAGAAACCTTTGCATCTATGTAAATGTAACATTTAAACCGGTCATATTAACATAGAATCTTTGGAATCCCTGGAATTGCAAAGTATTGCCAGTAATACCGATCCCACTGCAAATCAACAATCACTTTAGTCTGCAGCACTAGTGGCTTCCAGTGCAATAATGTCTTGGCCAGCTTTGTTGAATTCCAACACACCGGCAGACCAAACCAAGAATTAATGTCTTTACATCAACGCTGGCTGTCAAACTTGAATTCATTTACTTTAAATTCCCAAACTGTAGAAGAAACATGAATACCCAATTCTGATGTAATAAAAAAGGGTTTATTTCCAGTTTCTGCTGGAGATAAAAGGCTCCAGAGAGAACCACTAGAGTGAATCAAGAAAATAACTGGGTTTAGCTACCTACCTTTGACAGTGACCTTGATGATGTGGTGTGCGGTGCCCAGGCTGTTTGTGGCTGTACAGCGGTAGTCCCCAGCATCAGCTTCATTCACATCGGAAATCTTGAGTGTTTTCTTGAAGTTATGAAAGGACATCCTGCTGCTCGGCAGCTCTCCTCCATCCTTCTGCCAGGACATCTCTGGAGTGGGTCTGTCAAAGAAGAGATTACAACAGGATGTTTGTTTTTATGCTATTTCCGGATTTTGTTTTTGTTTTTCTGTCTTATAAAGCACATTGTTGTATAATGCATACATACTTTCATGCAGATTGTAGATAAAGTTGATGCCTACTTACAAGCCATCAGCAATGCATTCCAGCTCCAGAGTCTCCCCTCTCAGAACCATCTGGGTGCTGGTGATACCCAGAGGTGTCATGAAACCGGGGCGACGCTCCCCCATTGGGCTTTCTGAATACATGAGGACACACCACCAAATCAGAACCAGGCTGCAACATTCAACTTGAAGGCTCCTCTTGCAACAGTATGACCTCCGGAGGAGTTGGGTGAAAACATGAGCTCCGAGGGCCATTCATCTTCTCATGAAGGACAGGTGATACAAGCATAGCCTACACTATCATGAAGTGATTTGTCAAGTTGGATGGAGGGGATAGTAAATGAGTGTGTGATGATCCAACACAATGTAACAGAAGTTTTTTTCTTTATGCCTCGTCACATATGAGCAGTATCACCGAATCAGAGAGCAAAAGGAATCTCCCTGATCGGAGGAGCTGCTGGTTTGTTGCTATGGCAACATGGGGGTTCTTGGTGGAAAGCAAACCCCAGCCATAAACACACCCATCAGAACTGATTAATGGAAATATCTAGATTTCTTTAACATTGCTTTGTTGAAAAGGTCAGAAAGTAGATAACGAGAAGTGCCATGAGTTGTATCATACATCACTAATATCGTCATCTTGGATAATCTTTGAGGGTGTGCTTGATTGAGCAGATCATGAGATCAGTCTGAATTCATATGTGTAGTTGTGGTTTTAGGGGAGATGAAGTTTGCTGGCATTTAATGTTATTCATGCTTTGAAAGTTGCATCTTAATATTTTATCTGGTATATTTCAGTTTTACCATTTCACAACTATTGCATCATTCACGATGTCATTTTTATTTATAGTGACCAAAATCACAGGTTTGTCTGACTCTCTATCTTTAGACCCTTAATTTGCATAAGGAAACACTCCACAGAAAACAAACAGGATAAAGATTTGAGAAACCTAAGGAAGAGTTTGTTAATAGTCACAGGGGACTGAGGCCAAGTTAAAGGTGAATGTGTATGTTGGGTATGGTTAGGCCAGGGAGTAAAAACAGGGCTGGGTTCACACTGAAGGGGCCGAGAGGGAATAAACCAGCAGCACTCACCACTATAGAAATCAGTGACATTGTATAAAGCAGCCACAGTCTCATTCATTGTTTCCACTGTAATACAACAGAACATCATAAGCATGCAAAACTAGGAGAGAAAACAGGAAATGCCTTACTTTACAGTGGCTTTTTCCCCACTGCATTAATCCAATGCATTAGTTTGTGGAAAATGCATTGTAAGTAAGTACAGAATAATATTGTGTTACTGCAAAACATCGACACATAATGGGTATAACACTACGGTTAGATTATTGTGACACAAAAATAGGGCCATTGTAAAATCAAATATATCTTGAATCCCTTTATAAAGCTCAGGAAAGCTTGAAGGAAACACTGCACAAAACAACATCTCAGGCTAAGACAATTCGACATGAACAACACATGGATTTGAAACAGGAGTAACACAAGATCCCATTGATCACAAAATGTGTGAGACAAAATCTAGAGATGTTAAATAAAAGTGTCACAAAAGGAAAAATCTGCAAAAAAAAAAAAAAAAAAAGGTTTTGCAATAATAATGAGAAAATACAACTATAATAAAATAGTATATAATAAATTGATGTTTGGAAATCCCAAGTGAATACTTTTTTTTAATTGCAGCAAACACTTGCTGCAATTAGTATCGAGTATTTTAAAACATTTATTCTCCAAATTTCAGGTAATAAAAAAATAGGCCTGGAATGGAGTTGTATTCAGTATCTTAACTTACTGTTCAGCACGGTGACTGAGATAGGCTGTTTCTGCTGGATGGTTTGTGTGTGAGGGAAGCGAGCATAGCAGATGTAGTCAGGCCTGCTGTCTTCTGGGAGAACATTAGAAAAGTACAAGTCTCCATTCAGAGCCTGGGACACTCGTTTATCCAGCGGTAGCCTTTGGAAGTCTGAAGGACAGGAAGAGACAGACATGTCAATTTTCAGTATATGTTGTATAATTTAGTTTTACAAGAATAAGATTGTGTCAATAAATGTTCCATCAGGCCTATTTTACATCAGTTCTCTCTACAAATACCTAATGATTTAACATCAGAATCATCTTCACCCACTGTCAGATTCAAAAGATAACAAAAAAGATATGTGTAGACAGGGGGTCACCATAGTCTATAGGGACTGAATGCTGAATACATACTCACAGTGTGCAATCCATTGTTTGTCTGGCATTGTTATACTGAACATGAAATTCGTATGTCCTTTTGCCATGTGTGCAGTTATGTATACATGCAAATAACTCACTGTTATCCATCCAAAAGATGACAGGAGGGGGTAGCCCTGCAGGGGGTCTGCACTGCAGCACCAGGGAGACCCCCATCTGCACCACAATGGGCTCATTTCTCTCCTTTGACCACAAGGGGGACCCTGCGAGTCACAAACATCAAAACAAGGGTACTGCAGGCTTCCCCATAAGTCACAATATTTATTGAAGAGTTAAATTGCAAAAAAGAACTTCACAAAATGACACAAGCAACACGTACTTACCTACTCCATGCTTTTCAAAGGTTAAAACATAACTTGTCATACTGTAGTTGGAGCTCAAACCATTAGAATCTATTTTAATATCTAAAAACCAATGGAAATAAAGTAATTGAATATAATCAGAAGTCTTACTGGACTGTCTGATGACAATGTTGTTGGATACAGCGGTGCCGTGCTCGTTGTGTGCGGTACACTGGTACGTTCCTTCATAAGCCTCAGCCTTTTCCCCACTGATGTCAATGACCAGAGTTCCTGAACCAGGCTTTACCAGGACTTTTGAGTCTTTCTCTACATCAAAGTGGGTCCCATTTCTCGTCCATGAAAAGCTAGGATCAACAAGAACAATAATTATAGGCTAGAGGCCATGAGGAAACACAAAAGAGAGGAAATGACACAGTGTAGCGTGTTAGTTTAAATCATCAAGGTGCGCTGTGGTCTGTTCATGCAGACTGATGTTACTTCATAGCAGGGAGTTTGGCAGATTGATTGATTCAGATGCTGATGGCAAACCTAAACGGTGTCTAATTCACTCTGCCAGGTGTGTTTCTCAAGTGGTCGCCATGACAACAGTTGCCATAGCGATTTACATTTCCACACTGCTCCAGGTTGCCCTCAGAAACAGATGTATAATTTCACACAAAGGGCCATCAAACTAAATAGAGATCAGTTTGCTGTTGATTACTGAAACACTCAGCTTGTACCTGATTTAATGAGCCTTTCTCCCTCAATTACACTGCTAGAAACGTAATCACTGAAATATGCTGGCGTAGTGTGTAACTGGGTTGGAAACCTGCATTTGTCTGCTGCACATGTTCTGATAAACAAGCATCAATGGGGTGGGAGGAGTGACTGTGTCACCTGGGATGAGGCTTCCCCTTGGCTTCACAGTGGATGACAATGTTCTCCCGCGGATCAAAGATGTAATCCTTTGGGGACTGTAGCGTTATAGTGGGGGGTTGGGGCACTGGAGAAACATGAACAGAAGCATAGTTTAGACACATACATATGAAAGGTAAACAAGGCATGTGCGGGCTTATAGAATCAAGGATATGCAAGCAACATGCAGCAAGCATTCAGTCAAAAGCATAGACTGTATATATAAGTCAAAACTGACAATCAAGTGTAACACCATTTGGGACAACAAACAACAGGTATCGCATCAGGTAACAACTTACCTTTCCATGAACTGACATAAACCAAGTGCCACTCCAAAACAAGCAAGTCACTTCACACAGTAACAATGTTGAGATAACTGCATGCACATCTAACATTGCTAGAACACACAAACGCAAGTTAAAATAAGAGCAAAAACTTAACACTAGAAGTCACAGCAGTGTTTGTGGCGACTTACATCCTTCCAGTACTTTAGCTTTTTGTCCACCGTGACACGCCATACCACAGTGATAGAATATTGAGGAAAGCTGTTAGTTTTTGCAAGGAGTAAACCACAGGTAAAATAGTTCCACGTTCAAGTACTTTTAAGCATCTTACTGAGCCTTACTGAGCCACTGTTTTATGTGGCTTCAGGTTTATCACGAAGGTGCAATCAATGCTAGAAAAGTAGTTGAAGACATCATAATTTCACACAGGATATGTGTGATATATAGGTTGACAGAATACAGAAATTTAATTGCATTTCATAACTAAAAACCGCAGAGTTGATTACATGCTGAAACATGCAAAGCTGAAACGAGAAAATAAGGAAACTGCTGCTCAATCTGTAGCTACTTCAAAGACCTTTTAGTGACCAGTAGAGGGTGTAATGTTCTTCATTATGCCACACAATATAGTGTTTTCCATAGAGCATAGAGCAGGTGTTGATGTAAGTGGAATATTTGGTTAAACAAAATCTATATGTACTATAAGAGTAAATGTGATGAGGACAATACTTACGATCAAGAGGCACTTCTAGCGCTGACGTCTTGTGACTCAAGAGTATCAGTAGCACAGCTCCAAAGCCCGGCATCCACTTTCTGTTCCTGTCCATGATTGGGTGTATCATGATGAAAACCTTCTGCCCAGATTCAGCGACGCAATCAAGGTGGTCGACGGAGTGACGAGGTCTGGATCCACACTACAGAGAGGTACAAACCAACAAAACACATTTCACTAAATTAAAATAAGTGCATATGCATTATGAAAATGTTTTATTTGTATAAGATCAGTCCATGAAAAAGAAAGATATAGGTCCACCGAATATTTTGTCTGACTCACAATGGGTAGTTTACTTTGCATTTTTCTGTGACATTCTCACAGCTCAACATCAAAACCAGGGTGTGTAAGTCATGGATCACAAGTGGCTTGTCAGTTGAATAGTCTGTCATCCTGCCAATCTCAAGGCTTTGGCAAAACAAACATGATTCCAGTCCTCTTAACTTAAACAGCATCCTGCACCTCTCCTGTCTTCAAGATGCCATCAAGAAGAGACACAGTAGCTTAATATAAGCATTAGTGTAGACTGCATCTCTCTCCATTAATAGGTCTTCTGAGTGTACGAGCTGCTAAGGTCTATGGGATGCGTCCTATTTTCCAGACAAAAGACTCTGATTCATTTTCTTAGGTAGTCTTTGTGGAGTTATTTGGTGCGAGCTGTGTTCACATTGTATCGGTCTCAAGACAAGATAGCCACTGATTATTAGAACATCCCATGTGCACCACTCAGATGCCCTGTCTACCACGTGTTTGCCTGTAAACATATGGCATGTGAGTGCGCTCGGCTGGAACAATCATAGCTCTGCTGCGGATATAACTGCACAGCAGATTGGCACATGCATGCACAAACGCACCCCATTAGAGGAAGCGTCCATATCAGTGTGTCATGTGGATCGAGTTACACATGAGTGCAGACCCACATGCGCTAGCTTCTGTTGTGTTGTCCATAACAAAGAAACCATGATGCCATTAATGGTCTCTTGTAAACTGCACTATGGAGAGCTGGATATTGTGTGTGTGTTTATTTTTCCTTTATGTCTTGCAGTGTGTGGTCACATGTGCATTAGCGGGTATTAATTTATTAGCAAATTGGTATTATGTCACATCCTTAATGGCATCAACATTCTCCTATGCACATAATGTTTTTGATGAATGTATGCAATATATATATATATATATAACATTCACTCTTAAAATGTGTGCAAGATTTCTGCTCCACTATACAGGAAAAAAATCTTCAATCAACTGGCCCATTTTTCACGTTTTGACTTTAATTCTTAGCTCTACACTAAATAATTTGCTTAAATTGAAATTCTTTCCATTGCATGCGCTGGTTGGATTAAAGGAGCCAAAGGGAGACAATAACTCCTCTTTGCAGGCTGAGATAGATTTCGAAGTGGAGTGTGCTGTGTGCTGATGTTAGGTAAATGGCTCAGTACATCCTACATCTTTACTATTCATGACTAGCACATACATCTTTTGCACATACAGTATAGACACACAGACACATGCACAAATACACAGGGGGTCAAAGTCTTTGAGGCATCTGAAGGTGAAACTATCAAGCTCAGTGTTAGACTCAGGCCTGTTACGTCTCTACTCTGCTGGAGAGGAAGCATGTCTGATGACATAGGGAAGAGTATGGTAATGAACACACACACAGTAGTGTGTCAAATTTTATTCAGCTGAGCTAGGCAATGTGTGAGCTAATACAACCCCAGGACCCAGCTAATTATCCCGACACGTCCTATTGGATATTACTCTCACTAATTAATGGAGAGGGAAGGCAACAGAGAGAAAAAGAGAGCAACACAATGAAAATACTACTACGTACTTGTATAGCGACTTTCTAGTCTTTTCGACTACTCAAAGCACTTTTACACTACATCTGCATTCACATTCATACACTGAGCCTAAGTGCTCAAACAGAAACTAGCATTCACACTCATTCATACACTGGCGGAACAGCCGCCAGGGGCAAATCAGGGTTCAGTATCTTGCCCAAGGACACTTCGACACGCAACCAGAGGGAGCCAGGGATTGAACCACCGACCTTCTGATTAACGGCCAACCCGCTCTACCTCCTGAGCCACAGCCGCCCCAAAGTGCATTAAATGCAGGCCATGCATGCTAAATCTCATTCTGAAAAAGGCAAATCGATATTATGCAAATGTAATAGCCCATATTCAGATTAATTACAGTAATGTTTCATGCTGCTGCAGCAGAAATGGCCTCCCCCTCAGCAGCAGTGGCCATATTATATGCTATGCTGGACCTCAGGCCATTTTCTGCCAAAGAGACAGACGGTGAAGACCATTCACCTGGTAGGGCTGCTTATAAGTGTGACTTTTGTCTAAAACGTAATCAGTGACAAAAAAAGAAGGGGAGATGGTGATGGAAATTGAAGAACAGAATGTATAAATACGTAAAAAATGAAAACGACATTCAAGTCAGTACAAAGGATGGAGAAGAAAGGGAAATAGACATTATATAGCCTGAGGGAAGAGTGTCATAAGGGATGTGTGAAAAATAAAATGCTGCATCACTTACCTCACTGGTTGTCTCCTTTTAAAGTAGGGCGCGACTGATTCTGTATTTCTGAGGCCTATAGTATTTGAGAATTCTAAAAATCTGATGTCAGCAGACAGTTTGTGATAAACACGTCTGAGTAGGAATACTTTACAGCTAAAAAATCAACTTTATTTTGAGAAACGTAAGATAACAGTAAGTTCTGGAAAAGGTACCTCATTGAGATTAAGTTAAAAAATACTATAAAATACAGACACATAAAAGACAACTAAACCACCAATAAAATACCAAACGAAAATGGGTTATCTATATGCCAGTCTAAATAGATAATCATGACACCAAACCATATGAGTATTGCCGGAAGCATTTTAGGTTCAACACCACAGATGGTACAAGCGTGTACACTGTAAAAGTGAGCCTGTTTGCAGCCACAGTAGTGTTAGCATGTCACTCAAGGAATGCAGCAGAGGAAATTTCACAACCTAGTTTAGAATAGGGTTAAGTGGATTGCTTTTGAAATAATTGAAACTAGTTATGCTTTAGTTAAAATGCGTTCACACCGGATTTTATTTTTCAAAAAGTATTAACCCTAATAAGTGATAACAGCTTGTTATAATATGTAAGGATTAATGGTCACGCACTACGTTAGCTAAGCTAACCAGCTACTGGCTGTAGCCTGATATTTCACAGCCCCAATGTTTTTATTATTAAAAATTATATAATTATTAAATATTTTTTTATTATTAAAAATTATTTTTTATAAATGACTTATACTTTTTTTTTAAATAAAGTAACTACTTCTGTAAAAAAGAACAGGGTCACATCTCCAGAGAGGCAGAGAGGGATTAACTGCCCGGGGGCAAAAAAAAATCAGCGGACAACACAGATGACTCCCCAAGCACCGCACAAACAGATAACAGACACACAAATACATAAAATTAGCTGCCATGTGCAAATGTCAACATCTCCATATTTCAACAGCTAGAATGTGTTGAATAAATTTGCTTAGACATTTACGTTGGAAATTCCTCAAGGCCATTGATTTACATGAAAGTGCAGCATATTAATGAAATTTTGACTTTTCACTAAAGAGGAAGAACACTGTTTGCAGCATTTTTGAAGCCTGGAGTGAATTTTTCATAGATGAAGGCTGTACTGTGCTGTGTGGTTTAAGACATTTCTCTAGAGGCGATATCATTCAATGAAAGGCTCACTCTCAAGTGCAATTACACACATGTATTTAGCCTAAGATTCATCCTAAAGCTAAGTGGGTAAATAAAATTTCCCATTGCTCATTTTCTTCTCGCGGGCCACAGACAAAAAAAAACAAAGATGATGATGATGATGATGACAAAGGAGGATGAGTGGGATGCCTGGCTAGTGGGCAGGTCATCTCTTATCCTCCTCTTTCCTCTCTTCTCTGACTCAGGGGTCAAAACCCAGAGGTCAAAGAGTCACCAGCTCTGCCTTTCCATCTTGATCACTCTAGTCAATTTCTTTCACTTCCTGTCTTCCGTCCTCTATTTCACTGTCATTTTTGTGTTTTGCTATCCCTCCTTAAGCAAAGGCCATAAGCACTGTGTAGTCTGGCTGTCACCTGAAATTGTTAATTCAACTTTAGGGTCTCAGTGTTACACATTTATATTTTAAGCATTTAAAGTAACTGACACTCAGCTTCTGTTAAGTGAATGGGAAGGCATTTAGTGTATCTTTTAGTAGGACATTTTAATGGATAAAACTAATAAATGCCTTAGGAAATAAGGCATTTACTTTTTTATGTATTCAGTGCAGTCTGCAGTTATGTCAAACAGCAATATTAGGCTTAGGGCTGAGCAATATGGCCAAAAATGTTATCATGATAAAAAATTAATATCACTTACTATCTAGGCTGATTTTTGCTCCTGTGTGAAAGTTAAAAGGTGGTTGTGGTTTTCAACTATTCTTTATGGCCAGAACATGATGAACACTTGCCAAACAGTGGATCATTTCACAAATCTGAGGTAGAACATTCAAAACAATTATAATAATAAAAATATTGTTTCAACAAATAAGCATGAGTAAAATTGTGTAAATACTTTTTTCAGCTTTGTCTAAAGGGAGGCCCACAGTCTCAGACTGCACTAGCCCATCCAATATCTCTGCCTCAGAAAGTCAATGCAAGCCCTTATATCCGCACAGATTCTCCCAAATCATGTCTACCTTTTGTCACCCTTTCAAGCTCAATAGTGAGAGTTTGCAATGCTATAATAGGAGTCTTCGGCAATGGATATTTTTCTATCCCATACAGAAAGCCTTTGCAGCACACTACCCTTATATACTGTCATATATATATACTGCTTTTTGAAAATATAATTCAGCGCTTCACACCGTGCTTCTTACTTCTTCTTATCTTTTGAAATGCTTATATCTTGGACCATATATTGAATATGCTTGCCTTTTTGTCAGATATGTTGAAGTATTTAGCAGTGGCTTACTGTAAATACCAAACACGATGGTACAGGAATGCCATGTACCTACATGTGTTCACTTTCAATTTAAACTTTGTTATTTCATGTGCACAGATTCTCTTCACACTAAAAGTTAAATAAAACGGCATACTGTGTTATCACAGCT